TGGCGGCGGGCGTCGTCTGTGGTAGTGCTCAACGCTGAAGCCGTTAAAAAACCCACGGCTTTCTGCCCAAAAAGTAACACAGCATGCGGTTAAAAAAAAGGAGAAGTGTTACCGGTTTAGATGATCCAGAGCGCTTCAGAGCCCTGCGTCTGAGGTAACTTGTCTCCACAGCTTGCAGGAAAGTGCCAGCAAAACGTTGCCTGCCTCAGAAATAAGCAAAATTTCGTTAAAAGGGGTGAGGGAGCCAAGTTGTAAAATCCTAGAGAGCATCCACGGCCGTAATCTGAGGTTGTAGAATGCCAGAGAGCATCCGAGGCCATGGAGGAGCAGAGATTCAGGAAAAAGTGGTCAAAACCAACGTACTTCCCGTGCCAACATGGTATACAGGCTTGCATAAACACCTTCCCTTTGGGGTTTTTTGTTGAGGTTTAACCAGCAGAAAGTAAACTGCAGCAACCATCTCTCTTGCCTCCACCGCCAACCTAACGTCACCTCCTATGAATATTGTTTCTCCCGTTTCCCGATCTCTGATCAGGATCCCAGCGCTGCCACCTTCCCATAACGCAGTTTAATCTCCCTTCAACTTAAACCCTGCCTTCCCTTTCGTTATCCCTAATCATTTCAGTCATTGAGATGAGCTTAAATCTTTCTTGATACCATTAGCACGTTAGCTGGAACAGGAGGTATTCATGCCACTGCACAAGCAACAACTGAAAAATACAATTGCATACGGTGTATACAGAACAGTCACCTCATATTTTAAAATATTTGTAACTTTGGCAAAAAAAACCAAAACAACAAACTTGCTGCATCCTACAGTACACAAATAAAAATGCAGGCCTTTTCTCTATCTTGATTGGGTTTGGGGGAACTTCTAGGGGCAAGAAGACCCAGGTTTGCACCCACTGCATTATTTTAGCATTGATCTCTCCCTAACAAACAGACTTGCATCAACCCTGCGTGTCTTCCTCAAGATTTACACCTCAGCCCAGCAACGCACGCAGCTTTTGTGCTGAATTAGTTACAAAGACTAAGAGCAGCTGGACAACCCCGTGCTCGTTCAAACATGGGCTACGCTTCGGCAGGATCGGGGTGAAAGTACTCATCTGCTACACAGCTTTTTTGTGACACACAGGAACAGAAGAAAGATGTGGGTAAATTTCAAAGAACCAGTAGAGGCCACTGTAAGTCTGAAATGCTGGACTGAAACATGGGATAAAGGGAGAAAGCAGTTCAGTTCTTCAAGACAACGAGAGCAATCCTTACCAGTAAATGATATTTAAGGCTGGTATTTGCTTCGTAGCTTTTTCACATAATACATAAAAATCAGAGAATACAAGAATAAAATTACTGCCATTATTTCAAACAGTAATTTCAAAGAGCACTGCACATACCTGATGAACAGAATTAACAGGAGTCCCAGCTATAAAGGGTGGGGAAAAAAGTGAAGGAGCGTTTAAAGACAGCGAAAAATGTCAGGTTCAGTTTTGCCACTTTGCTAATTTTTAGTTCTGTCAGTGATTTTTACCTTTAATTTTGTGGTCTCTTTCCTTAAAAATGAACCTGTTTCATTTTGTAAGGTTGAACTAACAGCTTTTATTTTTAAAAACTTACCAATCCAATGTGTTGTGAAAAATTTAAAAAAAAAAAAAAAACTATCTGCTACCCTGTGGGTCACCTAGTCCAAATCCCCTGCCGAAGCAGGGTCACCTACAGCAGGCTGCACAGGACCTTGTCCAGGCGGGTCTTGAATATCTCCAGAGAAGGAGACTCCACAACCTCCCTGGGCAGCCTGTTCCAGTGCTCCGTCACCCTCAGAGGGAAGAAGTTCCTCCTCATGTTCAGACGGAACTTCCTGTGCCTCAGTTTGTGCCCATTGCCCCTTGTCCTGTCACTGGGCACCACTGAAAAGAGCTTGGCCCCATCCTCCTGACACCCACCCTTCAGATATTTGTAGGCATTTATAAGGTCCCCTCGCAGCCTTCTCTTCTTCAGGCTGAACAAGCCCAGTTCCCTCAACCTCTCCTCGTAGTGGAGATGCTCCAGTCCCCTCACCATCCTTGTAGCCCTCCGCTGGACTCTCTCCAGTAGCTCTTCATCCTTCTTGAACTGGGGAGCCCAGAACTGGACACAGTACTCCAGATGAGGCCTCACCAGGGCAGTGTAGAGGGGAAGGAGAACCTCCCTTGTCCTGCTGGCCACACTCTTCTTGATGCACCCCAGGATCCCATTGGCCTTCTTGGCAGCCAGGGCACACTGCTGGCTCATAGTTAACCTGTCGTCCACCAGGACACCCAG